CGCCCCGCTGGGCCGCCCCGCGCCGCCCGCGCTGCTCCGGCTGCCGCGCGTGGCCGCGCCGCTCTGCCGCGGCTTCTCCGAGATGCCGCCCCTGACCTTGGCCGACATCAAGGACCGGGTGCTCTACGTGCTCAAGCTCTACGATAAGATCGACCCCGAGAAGGTGAGCGGGGCCGGGGGGAGGCGGCCGGGCCGCGGGCTCCGGTGTAACGGGAGCTGGCGCCCCGGGCGCGGCCGGGCCGGGTGCCCGTGTCCCGCTGACCCCGTGTCCTCCCCAGCTCACAGCCGAGTCCCACTTCATGAAGGACCTGGGCCTGGACAGTCTGGACCAAGTGGAGATCATCATGGCCATGGAGGACGAGTTCGGTAACGGCGCCCGGGGCTGCTGGGCCGTGGGAGCGGCGGCACCGCCGGCCTGTGCCGTGTGGGGCAGAGAAACCCCCAGGGCAGGGCAGACCCCGCAGGGCAGGCAGGGCAAACCCCACGGGGCCAGCTCCGAGAGCAGGGCCGGCCCTGGGAGCAGGGCAAACCCCGCAGGGCCGGCCCTGGGGGCAGGGCAAACCCCGCAGGGCCGGCCCTGGGAGCAGGGCAGACCCCACAGAGCAGGGCAGGCTGCACAGGGCCGGTCCCGGGAGCAGGGCAAACCCCGCAGAGCCAGCCCTGGGAGCAGGGCAGACCCCACAGAGCAGGGCAGACCCCACGGGGCCAACTCCGAGAGCAGGGCAAACCGTACAGAGCAGGGCAAGCCCCACAGAGCCAGCCCTGGGGGCAGAGCCAGCTCCCCGAGCAGGGCAAACCCCACAGGGCCGGCCCTGGGAGCAGGGCAAACCCCACAGAGCCAACCCTGGGAGCAGGGCAAACCTCACACGGCCACCAGTGAGCTGGGCACCCGCAGCAGTCAGGAATATGGCCCTTTGCTCCAGAGCTCTGCCCCTTTGGAAGCAGGAATTCTCTCCCACCCCCATGGGCACCAGCCAGGGATGGGGAAAGGGGAGCAGTGGGTGCTGAGCTTGGCATCGCAGATCAAAAACCCCAGACACTCCAGGTTGGTTTTGCTCACCAGATTTTTTTTCATCCTTAATCCTAATAGGGAAAAAAAAAGGTGCTTTCTCCTTATTGGTTTGTATTCCAAATTTCTTTTGACTTCCTTTGGACTTCATGCTTCCCCCTAAAGCTCATGAATTCTGGAGTGGGTGCCTAAATGTCACCTTGGGCCATGGGTGTCCCTGGGGTTTGGTCATTCTCTAAGGCCAAGGTGGATGTTACACTCTCAGAGCCTTTGCTGGCAGTGTGTCTAATCCCCAGTGAACTGTGAGTGTGCCCAGGAGCACTAAAACATAAACCAGACATTTCTGGGCTGTTTCTGACCCGTTCCACCTCCGAGAGCCCGAGTGCCCTGCCCTGCTGTTGGCTCCCTGCGAGCACATGAGAGCACACTCAGCCTGAGGGGTTCAGGTGCTGCCTGGGGGTCCAGGAGCATCCCCTGCCACACACTGCTGTCTGGGGGGCTCTGGGAAGGCACTGGTGGCTTTAACAGGGCACATGGGGCTCTGGCTCCTGCTGTGTCCCCTGTCTGGAAGCAGTGTCACTTTGGCAGTGCAGTGACAGCTCTGGCTGACACAGCAGTCCCCTGAGCCACCAGCCAGCCTTCCTCATGCTTGCTCCCTTTTGATTGCTTTTGGGCTAAGCGTGTGCCCTTTCTTGCAGGATTTGAAATTCCTGACGGAGATGCAGAGAAGCTGATGTGCCCACAGGAGATTGTAGATTACATTGCAGATAAGAAGGATGTTTATGAGTGAAGCAGTTGCTCAGAGGTGAGTTCAGAGGTGCTCTCAGGGTGCCTGGGCACACACTGGGGTAGGGGCAGGGTGAGGTGTGGCACAGGTGGGAGCCCAGCAGCTCGGGAGGAGCTGGCAGCAGCTGAGGGTGCCAGCAGGGAGGGCAGGTGGGGTGTGTTGTCCTGAGGGTGGGGGTGTTTTCCTGAAGCACCTGCAGCTGGAGAGAGGGCGTGGGGCTCAGCCTCTCCTCTCGTCCTGCCTGGCACATCCAGCACTCAGCTCCTCCCCGGGGCAGCAGTGGGTGGCAGATTGCTCTCAGCCATGGCCCCCATCTCCCCGTGC